TGGATATTATGTGACTCAGCCAAACATGAGAGGATTCACAGGGAGTGAGTACTTTAGAGGACCTCTGGGACAGCTCATGCACTAGAGCAGGTGCTAGAAAGACAAGCCAAAATGTCCTCTCTCAATCCCCAGGTAGATTTCCTCCATTTCAGCATATATCAAGTGTTTGCTCAACAGAATTACTCCTGCTTTTGGGCTTAGTACCACCTTACGTTTTGGATGATGCTGAGAGTGATGGAAAAGACAACCTAAAATGACCCTGTTCTCTTTGTTGTGGTTAGTAACATTAAATTACTTCCTCGTAAGATGGATATGCCAGTCAGAAGGCAGGAATTGGTATCCAGTGTTCTTCTCTAAGTTTTCTGCCCTAGTAGCCAAGGCAAGCATTGTTGACTCTGGAATTAGCCCTCTATTTCAGAATTGCCTCGTCATGATCCTCCTTTGCTTTCTAGGAGACCCAATAGTTTGTGCTGAGCATCTGTCCTAATCCCTTATCCCAAGGGTTAAAGCAGCTGTTTTAACATGGCTGCCTGGCATTTCAGTTGCCAATCTTTTTTGGAAGCCGGACCTTTGTCCCATTACAAATACATACTAACAGTGAATTGATCTCCCAGTTCACAGCTGCCTGCCTGTCTGGCTTCCTGCTTGGATTTCTCAGCCCAGAATCTGTCACTGTGCTCTCATACTTGAAGTTCCAATATTAGCTCAAATATGACTGAAACTATGTCTTTCACTCAACTACTATCTATTCATCTAGGTGTCACTTCCTTGGTATGTCTTGTACTAGAGAGTAGGTTGGACATAGTTATGCATCCTTTCTTCTCTTTGCTGCCCCAGTGTATTTTTGCTTTTGTTTTTTGGCCAAGCCATGTGGTTTGCGGGACCTTAGTTCCCTTACCAAAGATCAAATCCATGCCCCTTGCAGTGGAAGCACAATGTTCCACCCACTGGGCTTCTGGGAATTCCCACCCAGTGTTGTTTTGGACAGTTGATTATAATCAAAAGTTAGGAATGTTTATGATGATAGGTAATAAGAACAAATCCAGAAAAGCAACTGAGTTACAAAATAAGTGTGTGTTGCTATAAAGTTACATAGAACACAGCAGTAGGTATTTCACAATCCAGTGCAATTTGGGAATCCAAGCAGATATGTAGACAGTTTATATAAGGGAATTCTGTTTAAATAATACAGGGCTAAGGCAAGATATCTGGAACCCTCTGATGTTCCATGTACGATCTCCATCTATAGAAGATTGGCTGGAAAAGTCAAGACTTTAATCTCAGGGAGGTTGGACCCAAAAAGTTTACTGGGACATGAATAGAAGAGCAAGATAAGGCTCCAGGTTCTAAACTGGATTGTGAAGTGGGAATTGGATTGTGGTTAAACTTCAGTTGTCAAGATGTTAAAAATGGAACTTGAGAATTGGAAAAGGAGCAAGTTGAGTTGATGGTGATTCATCTGTATATGAATCAGAGCTTCTTAAATTGTCGCCGACCAAGATCATCACTGAGCCTCAACTCATGGAAAATGCAGTCACAGAAATAGAGATTTTGGCTCTTAATTCATTAATTTATTCCTAGCGGTCTCCCACTAAGAACATTCCAGTGTAAACTATGACCAGTAAACTGTTAAAAAGTGACGTGAATAATTTTGAAGGCTGTTGCTTTCTCCAGGGCATTTATAAATGATTACTGATTGTGTATTCCTATGCGTATGTGAAATGAAAAGCCCATCTTCAGATGGTATCTCTGAAGTTCTGTGGAAGTCCTGTGTATAAGAAACCAAATTTTTCTTCTTCCCCTTCAGTTTTATCATGGAGCCAAGCTATGGTTAAAATAGTCTATTGGGATATATTATTCCAGGATTTACACATCTATATGTGTATGTCTGTATGTATGTACACAAGGGTCTGAATCTACATCTATACACAAGAGGAAGTAAACGGTGTTCTGCTAACTTAGAATAGTGCTTTATCATCCCCAGAGAAGGATTTGGGAGTAAGGAGTCAGCTTCATGTCTCTTTTTAATACAGCACCTGGTCTCTGAAGTAGTGTAAGCTTCTGGCAAGGTTCACATCAAAGCAATTACTGCAATTTGTTGTATTTTAGGAATAGCTGTGATTATTTCAATCCCAATATTTATTGCCATTCTGTTGTTTCAGCTTTGTAATAGATTGAATGCTGTGCAAAAATGAAAATGTGCATTTTCTTCCATAGGGAAACCTTCAATTTAGCAAGAGACACAGAATAATAAATTAACCTTGATCACAGTATTGAAAGTGCTGGCAAGATATATAATGAAAAATATTTATATATAGGAATCTGTACGGGCTTCAAGCACGTTATAGTGCGCGCACACGCGCACACACACACACACACACGCACACACACCCAGAGAATCTCAACAAAAAGACAAACAACCCAGTTGAAAATTGGTCCAGTGGCCAATAAGCACGTGAAGAGGTGTTCAAGATCATTAGTAAATGACTACTCAAGTGCAAATCAAAGTGAAAATTATATCCATAGGATGGCTTTAATTAAAAAACTAAAAAATAACAAGTATTGTCAAAGATATGGAGAAACTGGAACCCTCATACGTTGCTGATAGTAATGTAAAATAGTGCAGCCCTGTGAAAATCTGTTTGGCAGTTCCTCAAAACGTTAAACATAGAATTACCATATGACCCAGCAATTCTCCTCTTAGGCATATAACCAAGAGAACTGAAGCATATATTTGAACAAAAACATGTATACGTTAATGTTCATAGCATCGTTATTCATGGAAACAACTCAAATGCACGTCAGCTGATGAATGAATAAGCAAAATGTGGTATATTCATAAAATGGAATATTTTTTACCTGTAAAGAGGAATGAACTACTGACACATGCTACAACATACATTAACCTTGAAGGCTTTATGCTAAGTGAAAGAAGTCAAGCACAAAGACAATACATTATGTAATTCCATTTGTATGAAAAGTCCAGGGTTTGGGGGTTTCTTTTGGGGATGAAGAAAATGTTCTGGAAATAGATAGTGGTGATGGTTGCACAGCATTGTGAATATACTAATGAAACACTGAATTGTATACTTTAAAATGGTTATTAAAGTGGTAAATTTATGTTGTGTGAATTATCACAATAAAAAAATACAGTCACATACATATAAAACTAAACAGAATTTATGGTATAAAGAAACAAATTTATAAATACAAATGAAAGTATAATTTATAAAATATAGGCATGATGCATTTGATGGGCATCTAAGAGTGAATTTTTTAAGAGTGTTTCAAAAGCTCATTTGTAAATTAGTTTTTTGGGAACTGCAACATGTTTTAGGATGATTCATAAATCACTGAGTCTTAGGGGGTAGGCAGGAAAGATTATATTCAAATGCTAGGAAATAATATCCATGCCCTGTTCCCTAATAGGAAACTAAAAATCTTTTGATTATTTCCCACATTTTAATTTCAAGCTGTTTTTATCACTGTTATTTAAACTGATTGAATATTTAAATGACAGCAGTATTTGTTAGGTGTTGTTTTCCTCTCATTTAAATATATAATTCTGAAATTGAGCTATTTGTAATGAGGTGGATAGACCTAGAGTCTGTCATGCAGAGTGAAGTAAGTCAGAAAGAGAAGGGCAAATACCGTATGCTAACACATATATATGGAATTTAAGAAAAAAAAATGTTATGAAGAAACTAGGGGTAAAACAGGAATAAAGACAAGACCTACTGGAGGACAGACTTGAGGATATGGGGAGGGGGAAGGGTGAGCTGTGATAGGGCGAGAGAGAGACATGAACATATATATACTAACAAACGTAAGGTAGATAGCCAGTGGGAAGCAGCCGCATGGCACAGGGATACCGGCTCGGTGCTTTGTGACTGCCTGGAGGGGTGGGATAGGGAGGGTGAGAGGGAGGGAGACGAAGAGGGAAGAGATATGGGAACATATGTATAACTGATTCACTCTGTTATAAAGCAGAAACTAACACACCATTGTAAAGCAACTATACCCCAATAAAGATGTTAAAAAATAAATAAATAAATATATATATATATATATAATTCCGAGATTTCTTAGTGAAAATTATATTTTGATAACTATGAGAACATTATGTTAGTAGAGTGAATACATATATTTTATTTATATATAATTTTTAAGTCTCATAATATTTGTGTTCTTCCATGACATTATTTCATGCATTAATTCAAGATTTTTTTGTTACCATCTTAATATGATGAAACTCCTGAAAATTAAAAAATTTTTGACAAAACATAATTTAAAATACTTTTCGTAACATATCTAAACTTTTTTCTTAATTGATATAAAATAAGTTGAGCTTTATGTATGTTTAGAAAATTCTCTCTAAAAATGCCTGCAGAATACTAAGATCTATAGTTTGCCTCTGAATGGATTGTATTTTTCTTATTTATTCAGCACGGCTATTATTAGTTAATAGACTGATTCTTGAAAAATGCACTGTGTATTGTTAAGTTCAACAAAGAATACCTATTTTTTTTTAAAAACTCATTAATTTAGAATTTATGTTATCAAAAGAAACAGGGAAGAAGCAAAAAGAAGCAAAAAAAACCCTATTTATTTATTTGCACATTAGTTCATATAATACATAGGCAGTGTCCCCATTCTTGGTCAGAACATAATTTTTCCTGTTTGTTTGTTTGTTTTTTTGGTCCTGCAGTGCAGCTTGTGGGATTTTAGTTCCCTGATCAGGGATTGAACCTGGCCCCAGGCCGTGAAAGCACCAAGTGCTAACCACTGGACTGCCAGGGAGTTCCCCTGTTTCTTTTTTTGTGATTGCCTTTTCCAATTAGATAGCCCTTCAAAAATGGTAAAGAACATTTTGCATGTTTGTCTTAAAATTTAATATCTGGTGATACTTATTTATATTTTAAGAAGTATTTGTTTCTGGACTGGATTATATAACCACAGTAGCATATATAAATAATTTCTGTGTTTTCTGTTTCTTATAGATTCTACAAAGAAATTAAAAGACGTTCTTGAAGAATTCCATGGTAATGGTGTGCTTGCAAAGTATAATCCTGAAGGGGTAAAACCTTTTTTCTTTATTTAAGTTTCATATAGATGTTTGGAGGAGGGATTTCTTAATAAAGAGTCCTTGGAAATAGATATTCATATACAAAATGAAATTCATAATGAAATGCTATTCTGGAAGATACATTAAATGGTATATTACTTTTTTCATCCAAAAACATTTTGCTAATGAAAAGAACGTTTCTATATTGTGTGCTTGGAAGTGTATAGATTATTTATAATACATGCTAGGTTCTTTTCCTAAAAGTCAGGAAACAGTTTTAGATAGAACGGGAGAGAAAGTGTGTCTCACTCTCACTCTATGACATACAGATGTTAACCCCAAATGAACATTGGCATGGGCCAGGCAGTATTCCCTTGACGGAAGAAAGATTCTGTGATGGATATAAGTGGTCTCTTACTTTAAAGAGCAGGCTTGGATACAAAGAGAGGAATTTTTTCTCCTTATCTTGTTTTAGCCTGTTACCAATAAGCTTATGAATCTTTCCCTATAAAAAC